GAAGACTTTATAAACAGATACAAAGTTAAAGAAATTAATTACACTTTATATTGAATAAATTTGCATTTCCGAAAGTTAAAGAAATTAATTATATTTTATATTGAATAAATTTGCATGTCTAATTAGCATGCAAATTATTTGTCTTAGAAAACCGTTATTCCGAAAATATTAAAAATAAATTAATTTTGCTGAAAATACGTAAAAAATAATATAAATGATGGTATAAAACGTTTTCACATAATTATATAAAAATGCTATCGAGTATCTTTTGTATTTTCTTTCTGAACGGATTCATTCAATTATTTTTGAAAAAATTGAGTATATTATTTTTAATCTACAGTGAAATTTACTTTTATCATCTGAATTTATTGATAGTGCAAACTCAATCGTTCGTAACATTTTAAACTTGACGCTACTTTCAAAACTAGCAGCTTGAAATAAACGACCCAAATAATCGATGCGCTCCACTTGAAATACTATTCCACAATACTCGTTTTCCCCGTAGTAAATAACGTGGGATAATTTCGAGAACGCCGATAATAACGCATTGATATTGCCGTAAGCATTCGAGCGCAAAGTAAGAAAATCGAAACCGTGGAATGCGATTCGCACTCCATTGCTTCGACGAGAGAGAAGAGATGCTTTCCTATTTACATCGACTTAATGTACCGCAGGTTCCCACGAAAGACCGTGAAATCTATTCAAGAATACGTTTCTAGTGATGTGTGCTCAGGATCGCAAAACGGTAAGAAAACTATCGGAGTAGGGGAGACAAATTATTCGCGCTGTAGATTTTCTCTGCTGTGTACACACTGCCTTATAAGAAAATGCGCAATCTCGTTTCTATCGCCTCTTATACCAGTAAAAAGAAACGGAAAACACGCGAAACATTCTTAATGAATGATCTTTAAATCGTTCGTCAATTACGGTGCCGCGGGGATGAATAAGTGAAATTCAAACGGCGGTGCCAATTTCGGTAACACCTGATATTTACAAGTTGTCCGTGATGTAGAATCGCATTAAAATTTATAAGAATAAGAGGAGGGAGATGCATGATGGCCGGAAGAAACGAAGGAAAAAAAAGTGCGGGATCAACAGGACCGTGGCAGCTGACGATTTTAACGAGGTTTCTCGCGAAACAAATCGCAAGTCGGAAATTTGATTGCGCATTCAAAAGCCGCGCGACCGACCACTTTTAACTGTTTTCCGCAGCCTCGCTATTCCATCCCCGGGCCATTAACATTTTTTTCGACAAAAATATTCGCCATCCAATACGCTTGAGTATATACTTTTTATGTTGCAAATGCATAAAGAAAGACCGTGTGTGTACTTAACGAAGTAAAATGAGAATATAATTTGGGATTCAGCTAAATATGGGATAATGTAACAAATAATGATGGATTGCATTTTCTTTATGACAGGACGTCGACAAATTGCAGCACTTATTTTAAATTATGGATTTTTCTTTTCAATTTTCTTCCAATTTATTTGAAAAATATCCGTGGAATTTTATAATGAAATTATGAAATATTAAGCTGTAGATCTGCTAATTTTACAAGAGGCACTAGATTTTACTGCGAACAAGCGCCACAAGTAAGAAGAACTGAAAAGAAAGTGGATCTAGAAACATGGCGGACAATTGAAACTTTCGATCTCAATACGTTTTCCGCTCGCGATATTCACGGCGTATCAGATGGACTCGCCATCGAGGAAACCGACGGAAAACGAGCAAAAGGAGCAAGAAGACGGGAACTGGAGCGTCGAGGCGTGGCGTCCAGCCAGCTACTTGTTTCTATTAGACGACGAAGGAAGCGGACCTGCTCTCCTCGGCCTGGCTCCGCAACACATCGAGTCTCGCTCGTCTTATTCTACGGGGATAAAGTGGGTGTGTAGGTACGGCGAGTCGAGTTCTATGCGGCCTTGCAAGGTCGTTTCTACGCTGCCCGTCGGAGATCGTGTTTCAAGGATCGTTTCGCCGCGACGATGGCGAAAGAATTTTCCAACCTACGGATATGTCGTCAAACGTGCCTCTCACGAATCCCTAATTCTTATTTATAAATTTACTTTAGGGACTTAAAAAATGCGGGATTAGCCGTTAATTAGCCGAAGATTGAAAGACTGATATCGACATCGAAACTCGGTATCGGCACAACTGTCATCGCCATCGATTCAGCGAGATTTTAACGGTTTCGCTGTAATTTGGACGTAACTGTGCAGAGCTCTTGCGGAGCGTTCCTTTCTTCCCAGAGTCATTATCAGGATAATGGGATAATAGGAAAGTTGGTGCCGACCACTTGATAACTAGAAATCACAATAACACGTGTGTGTACGAATCCGCTGAAGCCCGAATGTAACAAAGTGTGTATCGTAAAGAAATACACGCACTAGCAAGATTAATAAGTATAGTTTTATAAGCATAATCGATAGAGAGATGTATATTTCTCACCAATATTATTATAAATCACTATACTCGTTGTATTTCTTTGTTGGCAAACGATAGAGTTGAGTTTATAATTTTTAATTATGATTTGTTAAAATTTGATATTTAAATCGTGACAAATTATATTTCCTCCCAAACATGGTATCTAAAGAAAAAGATAAAAGTACGGGGTGCGGCAGCTGTACTATTTTATCGCACGAATTACGAGTAAGATGACGCACCTAGTAAATTCATGCATAATTCGTCGAAGATAAGCATTACAGTTACAATCAACGCCGCACACTATTAGAGCGAGATAAGATGCAACCGGAATTTGGAAATTTTTCGTGCCCTACGTTTCACTCGTACTCATCAATCAAGTAAACGACTCTCTAAATGTTTCAAAGAGAAAATTTGAAATGTTAATCGAACATTGAAAGAAGAAATACACGTATGTCTACCAGAATATATCTCTATTGAACCGTGTATGCATATTAAGACTGAGAAGATTATCTCTGTGCAATGCATAATTTAAATCTCAAGATTATTTGTCGTATCTGGATACATAGAAATGACGCTATTAGAACTACGAAATCACCTTACATACGCTATTTATTTTCTTTTCTTATCTCGATCTAAGAGGAAAACTTCGTAAAATTCAAATTAAAATTACTTTCTCAGATAAATTTTTATCTTCGTAAGATTCTACAAAATCTAACTGTAAAAGCAAATATACTTTTGTACATATAATGTTTTTCTAACATAAAATATAATTAAAATTATTAAAAAAGTAAAAATAAGTAGCTACAAAATAATAAATGTAACATAGCTGGCTTAATAAAACAATTTAATAATTTTAAAAAATTTTTATATTATTTATTAATTTTAAATACGTTTAGTAGAAATTCTTATATAAATAAATGAAAGAATTATATGAAACATAAATTATACCTATTCACGCATTTTAACCTTGAATAAGTACATCAACCGGAATCAATAATAGTGCTTTCGAATGATCAAAATAATACTAAAAATTTTGCCAACTGATATGATATAATGAGTTTGCAATTTCGCAATAATCGACAACGGTTTCGCAATTATAGACGATCGATCGCGCGTCAATTTTTGGAAGAACGGATTAAGATAGCTCAATTATCGGTAATTTGTCATATATGTAAAAAGCTTTTGCAACAAGTGGTTATTAAATAATGTAAAAGAAGTCAGGAAACAGATAAAAACATCACTTTTTCTAATACTGACAGTAAACATCTAAAATTTTTCTCATTCTATTTTTTATTTTTTCTAATTTTTATTTTGCAATGAAGTTATATTATATTGGAATTAAGATAGTTAAAAAATTTTATAGTTTACAGCAATTATTGCAGCGTAGATAATTAACGATAGTAATCAGTCTAGTTCTTTTATATTTTAGTTGATTTTTAAATCTGCTGTTTATATATTTTGATTTTATGCTCAAGAAATCGATAATAAGATAACTCGCTCCTTGCAGTGTTTTGTTTTTCGCAATTGTCGGCGCAATACATCGGTGCAATACATCGGTAATATGTGAGAAAAGAGTCATAGAAGATGATACTAGCACTAACCTGTTAAATGTCAGCTGGATGTGGCAGGCCATGCGGTAAGTTTCATCGGCCGTCGTAGACGCTGCAGCCGGATGATCGATGATCTTCGCAGCACGTGGACGACGTTTGTCAGGAACGATAATGCGCGCGAGTCGTTGCGGTTCTCTTCAGGTTCAGCATTTCAACAGCTGCACCGCGGACGCCGGTTAATTTTCGGATTTAACTCACTGCTCCCTCCCGTCGCGTTTTTTTAATTAATCGTTAAACGTCCCGCATAAATCAATAACGGTATCTTAATGCCTCGCGTGACGCCATAGAAATCATTTCACATCGCGAAAACTTTACGATATTTTCAAATACTTGTTCTATCGTTCACATCGAAGTCTTCCGAGTTTCAAAGCAGCTTAAAGAATCAATCATATGTTGCACTTCCCGATGAACGAATATCCAATTACAGTTCTTAGCAGGGCTCACAAGTTCTTCGTGTAAAACGAAGAGAGTTGCGTGTGATTGACCGGTGGAAACGACCACTAATCTATAGTTGAATCCTGTTGAAGGCGAATCGATGTAAGGCGACGAAACAGGTACCACTTGCTCTCCCGAGATAAACAGCCTTCTTCTTTTTTCTTCGTTTATTTGAATTTGGATAAATTCAAAGAATACATTTGTTATTTTATGATAAATGATAAAATTTATATAACATCAATTTGTATTCATCGAATGAATTGTTTCGTAAAGAGACCAACATCCCTTTGTTTCTTATTTTTTTTTAGAAATATTTTTATATAACAATGGCATGCAGCTCCTCATTTTATTCTTTCTCTAGAAAAGAGCATCTGTACTCTCAGTCTCTTCGATTTTCTATTTTAACAAGTCCGTCGTCGCAGTAAACTTCAACCCTTCACAAATCTCCTCTTCGTACTCCAACGTGTACCATTAGTGATGACATGACATAGAATTTGCAAAATTATTGTCTCTGATGTTCTCGATCTTTCCAGAGCTTCTCGTCCGCCGATTTCGATGCTCCAAGATTGATCCCCGAATTTCAAGCGGTTCCGATAAAGGGTGCAACGCGCGCCGGACTGCGAAGGACCGCAAGGACGAGTAAAAGGTCGTGTCCTGGAACGGTGTCACACGACGGGGTGAACGTCAGTAAGAAACAGGTAAGTTTCGTGTGGTGGATCCGTGCTGCGTGATGGTCGGGTAGTTTGTGGCTGCGAGCACACAAGTCGAGCCTACGACACGGCGACGGCGGCGGCGGCGGCGGCGGCGGCGCTTCGCTGCTCCGTCTTCGTCCTTGCGTCCGAACGCTTCCTTGTCGCTCTTCCGCCGACGTCTCGCCGTCTCACTCGCGCCGCTCCTTCCCTTCGCTCTTCCGTGCGGATTCTCGCGCCGCGCGTCGTGGAGGAGACGAAGAAGCCTTCCCTCGTCGCGCCTCTCTTGTTCTCCGACCTCCAATCGCTATTGCACACTGTTTCTCTCTGCAACTAGCAACGATCGCCCCTTCCTCGTCGCGCCGGTGCCGGCGAGGAAGAGGAAGCGCTTCCTTATTCCGGCGCACGTTGCGTTCGAGTCGGGAGAGCGCCGTTCAACCGCTCGACATCTGTCCTTTTAATATTCTGACAAATTTTATTTTTCAAGTTCTGATTTTTCTACAGAAAGAAAAAAAATTAATTCAACAAACTCGTCGGAGAGTAGAAAGATTATTATATCGTGTCAAGAGCGCTCGAAAAGGGGTCAACTTTCGCACGTCCGTGTCACCTTGTTGACTATGCTGCTTGGGAAATAAATACGATCATCTTCGCGACGCTCGCGCCGTCTTTCACGGACGGGCACGTGCCTACTCGTGCACACAATCGGATCGGGTTTCCATCGCAGGTCGTTAGAGACCCGTCGCAATCAGATCGAGTAACGAATCAACCGCGCGGAACAGGTTTCGTGAAACGATTTATTCAGTGCAATAGAACGCAACGGAATAGCCCCGAGCCTCCTCGATTCTTTCAGGCTAAATTGATTTCTTTGGTGAAATTCGGGTCTTAATTGAAAATTCCAATGGTATTGTCGCTGAATAATAAAGCTCCACCTGAGTTTCGCTCGTTTCCAACGCACGCAGGGTGCCACTTATAAAATGTTCCCGCTCACTTTACGAGAATACCCTATCTGAGTTCGCCGAAATTATCATTAGTCTCTTGCTGTTTCGCGTAACATCTCCAGATAAATACCGACACGTCTTTCCAAATCAAAAGCGTAAACGTGAAACGGCGCATAAAAGGCGAAACTGTCTTTACTACAGCGACATCGCAAAAACCCGAAGTTTCGAGCTTCTCCGCGAAAGAGGCAATTCGGCGCGTTCATAAAATGTAATAGCAATGATTCCGCGTTAATTACAGCCGTACACAACAATCGTACAACACAAGACTCGGCTTCGATATAAAGAAAAAAACATACATTTATTGACACTACATTTTAATTATTTTTTTATGTATATTATGTTTTAAATATTAATTTTTTTTAAGTTAACGCAGTGTGTGTTTTATTGCGTTAAATAAATGAATATGTAATTGCTTCACTTTTATTGCTTTTTAATTTGCTTTTTTATTCAAATTCTTTATTTAATCAAAGGGGTTAATGTATTTTTCATATAGGTCTCTCTCTCTTTTCGTCTGGATCATTAATAAACATAACCACCGCTTTAGATGTTGCGTGAACTGAATTACAATAATTACACAGTAACGGACATCTTCGCCAGAAAAAAAAAAAACAAGTCCGCTTGCGCAGTAATTTCTCCTACGAGAAATTTGTCGAAGGACACCCAAATCGAGCCCGTTCGGAGACGTGTGATTGCAGCACGTTTATAAAGTCTCCGGCGCTGCAATAAGATTTCAAAGTAATAACGTCGTGCCCCCTGATAATTTCATGGGCGTTTTAATGACGCCATCCTGGTCGCGACCGCGCGCTTATGAATATTGACATAAAATCAAATTCCACAGCGACGATCCATTGACAGGCCGGGTCTTCCCGTGGAGGCAAGAACGGGGGCGGGCGAGAAGCGTCGATATTCGTGAGGGGTACGCGATCCCAGCGGGGCCTACCCGGCGTGCAATTAGAGGTACAATTTTCATTCGTTCAACCGGCTATGCAGATCGCTGACTGGCTGATGCCGTGAGTCAACGAATATTGGCAAAAACCGCCTCGACCACCCGGAAGGCAATCAATGGGTAATCGGCGCTTCTTATTTTCGCAAATGCACTCGCGAGGTTAATCCCGTGTGCTATGGGCGCTCAGTTTAGCCGCCGCTAATTCCGCGAGGTTTATCTTCCTCTTTAATAGCCGCACTTCGGCAAAATTGATTCCGTATACGAATTAACGCGAGACACGCGAGACGACTTTGTACGAATTTCGCCGCGCCGATAATACCCGTCGCAAATTTGACTGAGTTCTTAAGCTGACAAGCGCATTCGTTGGAATGCGATAGCACAGACGCCCACGCGATGCGTGTAATGAGGCATAATACAGGAAGAAGCTGTGGCGAAGATTGTGAGATTAAAAAAAAAGAATCAATGATATCGGTCGTAGTCGTGAGATTTATGCTTATTACCGTTGAGTGTCGTTTTAGCGAGTGGGTTTTCGAGAGAAATAACGGTGCCGTCAAGCGGCGACATATCTTAATTTGTGGGGCTTCCGCGCAAGAAATATTAGGTGCGCCAAATGCCATCGCGTGTCTCTCGTTGAGCGGAGCATTCAGTCACGGTTGCACCGGTATCGTTGATTGACCAACTGTAGGCTCTGTAAAACAAATTGCGACAAGTTAAATTCTGACATTTCTGGAGAAGTCATCGTACTTATTCCCCGTTACATATTTTGTTTATTCAAAAAACTAAAATATATATATTTATTTTGCTTTTTATGTAAAATTCTTATGTCAAAAATATTTAATATTGTTTTAAGTATTGTCCAAAGTTCCTTTTTACATCGCTATTAGATTCTAGCGAATTTTTTGGAGTACTCGATATAATTTAGTACAAGAATTAATTGTAGCACCGTTTAAAAAAGTATTAAATATGTACGTAATTTATTAGAAAATTTTGCAAAATTTTGAAATAATATGTATTTATTTTAAATATCTGAAGAAAGACTATCGTACACAAGCTTGACCGTTCAGCTACCTCAAATCGTTCTTGTAAGTTGTCGTTAATATACTAGCATTAGCACCTGACATATGTTTTACCAACATAAACGTCACGCATCATTTAGAGATGCTTTTTGCCACGCGAAGACTTACATTCGCGCAGATGAAAAGAACCGGATCCGGAGGTCAAAGGATGATGGGGATGCTGCGGCGGGTGAGCGCGCAAGAAACAACGAGCAAGAAACGGGCTGGACGCGAAACTATCTTATGAATGCTGCGCGCATCATACACACAGCGTGTGTATGAAAAAGCCATAAATCCCGAATAATCTGGAAGATTTATGCACAATAATGACATATAGAGACATTCACTGCTCGCGCGTGCTTGTCGTTTTTTATTTTCCTTTCGTGTCGAGAAAGTGCGAATACGTGTTCCATATCCAATAACACGGCGACCTCAGGGAGCGTCTCCATCTTCTTTTTTTTTATTTTTCTCGCGTTGCATTGTCGCGAGCGAGGTGCAGGATGCCGCAATTTGTCACCGTTGCGCGCGGGACGCGGGTTAACGCGATGCTATCTGCTTTTGTCTTTTTCTCCCTCTTTTTTTTTATTTTTACGTCCTTTCTCGTTGTCATTTTTACTCTCGATGCGCGCGCCCACCTTGCACGGACTGTTAATTTTCGGGATAAGATTGAAGAGACGAGGTCGGGAGCGAGCGCGGAAGGCAAATACGCATTCTTTTATCGTTGCTAAAAATCTATTACGCGTCGCCGGTTAATCTCGCTCGTTTGTCCCGCCTCTCTTGTATCTTCATTACATCGCACGCTGATATTATCGCGACTTTTTCGGCGTTGTATTATATTACGTGTTAACTACCGTGTTAATCGCGCCAATAGTCCTGCTGCTTTCTTGTGTGCGAATAAAGTTCATACATTTAATATATTTTGAAATAATTGATACCCGAATAGATCTGGTTTTTTTTTGTTTTTTTCAACAAAGTGCATCGTAAATTACATCTTTTCTACAGATAAAAGCGTACATTGTTGAGATTTATTTTTGAGGAATCGCATGTGCAAATCGCGATTTGAGTAAAGGACACGACGGAAGTGAGGTGGCGAACGAAGAAGGATGCGACCGCGGCTCCACGAGCCGCGTAAAAGGAAGTGCGGCTGTATTTCGAGTGAACCACTTAAAGGAACGCGGCAGTTCAACGTCGGATTTATGTTCTCCGTTGGATAAAATGTGCGAGATAAGTGAAAAAATGCCCACCCGCGTGCGCTCATGCGAGAGATTTAATTTGTAAGCCGCGTCACCGGCGCGTTTCTTCTCCGCGGTAAAGTACGCTGCTTAACCGTTATTGAAATTTCGACTATGACGGTTCCTCCGTGCTTTGCGTGTCCCGTTAACGCAATCCGCATTTAAGATACTTATGTGCGCTAATTATTAAGGGGGATTAAGGCGCAAAGGTGGGCCGTGATACACTTGTAACGACGGCGTTCGTTTTGTCGCATGGGAGCACATTTACAAGTTTTTTGTACGACATTCCGCTCATGTCGAAAAACAGGAGCAGTTTGTTTTTGGTATTAAAACAATTTTAAATTTGATAATTAATGAATCGTGAAACGCGCATAATGTTTTTGTTATAATTAATAAGGACAAGTTTGCGAGATGAAACTGAGAGATACGATACATTGAAGAAAGTGTGTAAATATGCTATGAGAGTTTATCGTGCATTGAAACGATGCCAGATAACGATTGAAACGACAGATCCATATTCGTGAGAAATTACATTCTCCTTATTTACTCATAAATAGTCTTGTCTCTCCAGTATTTACTCGCTCTCGATTTATTCATAGTAACACAAACAAGTATTGTCTGGATATGATTTCTGTAATAGATACTGTACATAAATTATAAATACATAAATCAATTATCGATTGATAATATTGATTCTGACGGCTAATAAACGTTTTCATTGAAAATTTATCTGAATAAGTTTGAAAAAATATTCTGTATAGATAAAGTTGCATTCAGAAAAAAATGATTACGAATATAACATGTCTATAAGTTTTTTTTTTTAGCATTTAAAGATACACCGGAAACAATCTTGAACGGTCGCATTTTTTACCGCGCACAACTTGGCGCGAACATAGCGCATTGGAATCACGCGAACGTTAGCCGGAGGACGCCATACAATGATCTCCTCGGTAAGAAGTATTCGATACCACCGAGAGGAATGGTACTTAAAGACAGCCTACAGTTAGGTAACATGTGGCGAAGTGACCATCTGTCTAGGAAGCGAACGCCGACGGGAGTTGTTGCGAAGAGGACCGAGGAGGAACAACGACATCTATTGCCTCGCGCTCCTCTCTTTGCCTTCTTTTACGTGCGAGAAACGAGATAAGCCATTATGCGCGGTTGACTTTGAAGGCGTATGCCCACTTTGCTGCCGTCGCATACAATGCGAAGTGTCTCATAGTGATTGACGGAACCACTGTTACGCCTGGCCACTCGACGATTGCATGCGAAACATTGCATCGGTTGTACAAATCTGAAATGTAGATGAAATCCGGGTGGGTTCAGGCGAAACGTCGGATTTAGTTCCCAAGCGAAAGATTGATTGCGTAAGTTTATTTGATTTTAATGAATGTTTAATTCATGACTGCATTAAGAAGGGACAATAAACGCATTCAATGAAATATTCCGCTAATGAGAAAGCGGCTTCAAAATTGTCAAAATACCGTTTTCGGGATATTTTGTATATATTCTATACATGACTTTACAATAATCATATTCATATTATTATTGACCTATTTAAACCAGCTGTCTTAAATTCACAGTTAGTAATGCAGAAGCATGTAAGCACTTATCGGAATCAATATTTATCATCTTGTAATGTTAATTTAAGATTAATTGAGAAATCATACTGGCTTTGTACTTTGTAAATCGACATGTTTTTAAATGCAAATCTGCTTTCCTTCGCTTTCTTCTTGACATAATTTACCAATGTTGATTAATTACTTAATTAGTTTATATACACGTTTCGTAATATTGTAATGTTGATTCACGGATAAGCGATGAAGAGAAGTGAGTTGCATTTTCACACTGTCGATTTACATTTTAATTATGTGGAAGTGAAAATACTAACCGAAATATTTGTATTGAACGCGAATGGATCAATGTTAAATGACTTCTGACACTCACTCTAATTTATCAATGTCATTGAGTTAATTGGTTGAGAGGCTGTAGAATTTGTATCTTTCATATTTTCGCAGAACAAATTCAACCGCTGCACTTAAACTGTACATTTTTCATTTCAATAATGCATCCATAATATTATCAAATTTCGATGTATTAAAATAATGTATGAAAGAAGATTAATCATCGGCGAAACGTAGCTCCGATAAAATAGGGTCAGATAGTGTTATCGTAATGATACGAAATTGTTTGCGCAAATGATCAAGGGCAAATTTCTTTATCAGCATAGTACGCTGACAAAGAAATATATTATGTCGACGAACTGAAATGCCGAACATTTATAATCTCGCTTTTATGTAAACGATTGATCGTTGCGACAGAATTTTAAAGGGAGATATTATATCTATAAAATAAAGTTTCTGAATCAGATATTATTAAAATTATTTTTTGAAATTTAACGTTTTGAATGCAGAGTACTCAATTAATTATGTACTATAATAATTGTATTGAATTATTCCCATTATAAGAAATGCTATAAAGTAAATACTGTTTAAAAAGAAAAAGTTGCATTAATTTCAGAAAAAAAAATTAATTTAGTCATCTATGAAGTAATAGTGTTTAAGCGTTTGAGAAGCAACGATATATCGTGTACACGTGCTTGAGCGTACAGGGGTTAAAAAAAATTTCAATTACGCATCATGCGATACAAGATAATAGTCGCGCCGACTGATGAATTCCACTTGTACGGTGTGTCGTGCGAGAGCTGTATAATTACGCCACTTGAAAAAGATGTAACAAACGCCGTGTGAAATGGAAGATGTTAGCGGAGCCGCACGCTGATTGACTCCTGATCCCGAGAGCGTGTTGCGCATCGTCGCTTTTCAGACGCGTCAAAAAAAAAAATACACCTCTGCTCCAGGGTAATCGCTCCGAGTTCCTCTTCCCGTTGCTCTCTTGTAATAATTGCGCCACGTATGATATTATCTCCTGCAGTCTCCTCCTCGCCGGAGTTACACGAATCGCGAAAGCTCTTGTCAAAACGGAAGGTGGAGCTCCGCTTGATCGGAAACGGGCGATAATCCGGCTTTTGGGTCTCGTTAATTATCGTCGGACTTGCCGTTGCTCGCAGCATTAATTTGCCATCCACGGTAGTCGACGGCCCTTTTACTCTGCCGTGAGGCGCAATATTAATGAACTCGATAAGCGAGGATTGATTTTCCTGAATAAATGCAGCGATAATACGAAGCCTCGAGATGAATTCTCGAGATGGGAATGAATGTAAGAATGCAAGCGGTAGCAAGTCGGCGATATATCAGAAAACGCATGCGCTATCTCTGTAATGTGCAATGGTGTGCGATGTGCGATTAAAATTTGACTGACACATTCAGCTTTATTAAAAAAAAAACACATTTAAATTATGACATGTAAAAATAACTTATAAATAAATCTAGATTTTAAAAAAAATAAATATTTCGAATACATGTAAATAAATACTTGATACTAAATGGATTAAATCACCACCTTGAATTATAAGTTAAGATCGTAGAGATCGCGACTGGACTTTCGGGCTTTCGCCAGCCTCACGTTTCGGATCGTCGTGTCGACCTTCCCGTCGGATACTATCTGATGCATCTAATTTGCATCTGGAAATAAGGCCGTCGTATCTCCAAGGATCAGCACGATTTCCGTGAGTTATCAACGCTGGCACTTATAGATGTGAGTCCCAGAATGCGCCGCCGCATTTATACACGCGATCGGCTGCTACGAATACTAATTAAGCACAACACAATCAACGATTAATTACGCGCGCGCGAAGTATGGGTGGATCTAATGAAGTTAATTAAGAATCTAATCGGCGAACGTACATCGACGATCTCGAACGTGCGATCATCTCGGAATTTCGTTCGTCAAATCGTCCCATCGGCTGTTTATTAATATTTCAAGACCCACTTGCGGAGTGTCCGATTGATGGGCGATTAAAAATATGAGATCCACTTTGGGAAAATGCGGCGAGATAAATTGACTAACGGAATCGCGATAGGAAAGCCAATTTCATGTCCGATTTTTGTCACTGCGATTGCGCGCCGGTAGACGCAGCGTGAATTATGTGAAATCCTGTGTCCGATTACGAGGACCTTTGCAGAATCTCTGACCTCGTCGCAATCGGTTATTGCGATGTCTCTTATAAAAGGGATAAGCTTGAAAGATTTATTTCATTAATTTAATATTTACTTAAACAAAAGCACTTACCAGTTTTTTTTTCTTATTTATCTAAATCGGTTTCTTTTTTGCAAAACATGAAGTTAACTGGCGATCGTGTCTTTAGATCGATTTTAAATTAATTGCAATTATATAATTGAAGCAACAAATTATTGATTTTATCTAATGATTATTGATGCAAATCGACACCTTGATACATTATTCCATCGATTTGATATTTTTTTAAATAAAGATAATATCCAATTTTTTTTTAGTCATACAAATCCTTTTCTTTTTACTCGAGATAAAAGTAATCGAAGAATCGTTATAAAATCTCAATAATCGATGATCAATCGATAATCTGCAAGATAGTAGTGAGAAAAATGCGGACAAGTGCTTCCTGTGCATCTCCGTGTGCGTAAAATGTACCCAATTCTGCGCTGAACCGTGTCATAAAAGTCTTGATCGCTATCGATCCGATATTTTATGCTGATATGGTAGCCGACGGCCAACAAATCCGGCGGTTATCATTGTAATTCGTTGGCCAAGTTGCCGGCGTTGCAGTCTGGTTGCGCGGCCCGAGAATAGAAATCCTGTTTTCGGCGGGTCCATAATCGTAAAAGCTGTTGCCAACCTGTTCCTTGGACATGCTCTTACGGTAATTCTAGCACCGATCAGCCGACAGATCAAGATATCTCGCACGAACCACGTATAACCGATATTTGTCCATTTGCTTCCTTTATTTAACTGTACTGTGACAATAAATTACAAATAATATAGTCACGAGAATAATAGTGCTTATTTTGAAATTTATTAGACTATTACTTTATAAATTAGATTATTTAGAAATAATTTTTATTATTATTTATAAATTAGAATATACGATTCTGCGTGGGTAATGATATTACTTTACTAAATCAATATATCGATAAATCAATAATTTTCCATTTGATCAATCACATAAATTATTATCGATTTCTATCGCTTTTAATAGAATTTATAATTCTAGTTTACGTTATCTTCATTAATACTCGATTGCTCTTTTATTTCAACAACTTTATTTGACAAAATTCCACAACACGCTTAAATACACTTTGTACGAACTCCATAATAATGCTACATTTTATGATCGCTGATTGCATCGACATTTATTATAGCAGGTTTTCAGCCGTGTTGCTCCAGTACATTTTGCAACGAAGTACTCGACCTAAGACGTTGCGCTACGCGGTGACTAGAGCCGAGGGGTTGCCGGATTCACTCGTCGACTTCCGAGTGCATGGTGGTCAGCAGAGCGAAGAAGGAGTACGAGCCTTTCAAGATCTACGAAAAATTGTCGATGACACCGATAAACCATCGGCCGATCTTCCGCGCGCTCGCGCAAATGATGTAATCGCGGGTGATGAACGGCGGGATTCGCAGCTTGCCGAAAGCCGCTTTCGAAAAGCACGTTTTATGGAAACTTTAATCAGGTAATTTATGTAGCAATTAATGTCGCTTCCCGGGATAGCCAGTTACCGTAACGGCAGAATATTTAATTTAATTATTTCGGATAAATCCGTGTACGCGAGAGAGGACGACTCGAATATACGCGAGCCTGTGCTCGACCATTAAGACTTCGTACTTCGGCAATGTCCTTAGGCACTTTATTGCATCAGACCATCGCACGATTTAATACACGGTTGTTTACGATGAATAGGCGGAGACGCGGCTTGCCTCTCTGCGCGTGCGAGAGATGCGTTTTGTTCTTCGTATTATTTCTAGGTTCTTAGAGAATATTATTCACAGCTTGCGAGATATTTCATTTTTTTTTGTTTCGATATTCTTACAGGTATCGGCATCATTTCGCCACGGGCGAAGAGAGAAGCGGAATCGACACGTGCGACTGGTCTCAAAGAAAAAGGAAATATCGGTGTACCACACGCGTTAACTCACAGCTATTAGCGTTCTAGTGAAATATGATTTACCCGTGTCGTGTAAATCATATTTTTCGTTTTATCTTCTTCTTAAGTTCGCTCGAAAGTCCGCGCAAAGGTCGCGCGAGAGAAATATATTTTAATCTTTGTAAATTCAATCTGCCTTATTAAACAGCTATCAAGCTACTTTAATTCCATTTAATTACTGCAATCTATTTTTCTAATGAAACCAGATTTATCACGCGATACTCGACCGGTCTGCGAATACGAAAGATCATTAAAAGTTGCTTTTTTTCGACATATACTCACTGCGGTGAACGTCTCCATGGATAAAACGTAGAACACTCCCGCTTTCAGATTCAATGTTCTTTTTGAAAATATCATAGACAGGATTAATAAACGTCCTGTTTTGACGGTAAGCTCGTCGCTCCATTTCGAAAGCCACTGGCTTTGCGTCAGTGACATGCTCTGTAAGATCGTAAATTTAGCACAATATGAAAATTAACATTAATTACACATATTACAACACCAAATTAATTCCACATCGTGTTAATTACAGACTGCAATTTTGAGAAAATTATGAATATATTAATTTTTATCGAATTGAATCTTTTCTTTTTATCTCAACTTTTTATCGGACGTCGCTTATTATAACTAATATTAAGTGTATGAAAATAAAAATTTCAAAATAAAGATTTCATATAACGCTTTTATCCAGCGAAATATTCTTGTTTATATCTATAATCATAGTGTAACATTAAAAAATAAATTGAATTACGGGATTCTTCTCATAACTCAGGACAGCAGTAAATTATTAATGGAAGAGTTGCATTAGCGGAAAAAAGCTTTCACTATAGAACATAATCACACCTGGTACATCACTTCGTTGCCTACCCAACAGATATAGAAGAGCTGCGAGACGGCCGCCGCCAGGTATATCGAAAACTTGTAGGTGTTGGAGCTCTGGCCTCTGACCTGTTCGAAACAAAGCGAAACTGCGATCACGATCTGACCGCGACGGCACTTTGACTTATCACGACTGCTCACCAAGGCGGCTTGGAAGCCAGTTAGGCAAATCATCGTAGTGCTTGAAAGCATCTGAACGAACATGCCGGCGCTGAAGACCTCGTTGAAGTCGTCTATTATGGCGAGCAGACGTTGATGATTGCGGACGGATCGTCTGAATTGCCTGGTGAAACCGCCGCGGCGGATCTTGTCCGGATCGTAATTTTCCTTTTCGTATCTGGCCCCGAACGTGCAAAATATTTTGCAGCGAGCGCTTCGATTCGTGGCATGTAAATTCTCTTGTCTATCGATATTGTCTGACGGCGCGTCGCACTGGTCGTTGTTGCTACAATTTTTGTAATGCGCGTTTAAAATTTCAAGTTGCACGAGAAATAGATTACAGAGATTGGTGTGCAAGCTGTCCATCCCGATGATGCCTGTCAGGCCGACGGAAATTGTGCAGGCTTCCACAAAGAAACCAATCCCGTGCCATGGATATTTGGTCGTGTCGAAGGGATATCGTGCTCTGACCGGAAGTTCTCCATTCTCCACGGGCACAAGGAATAACAGAGCGATAACGAGGAAGAAGGCCATTGTACTGAATCCGTAAAATGTAACGCGACTGAGCGTCAGATACTTGTCCAGAATCTTATCCTCGCCGCCAACTGTGATCACATGCACGATTAAAAAATTGGAATTGCTCGATTATAATCGTTACTATGAACAAATATGCAAAAAATTAGACATTAATAGATTTGAATGTAATTAAGATCTAGTCGATAACAAAAATTAATATTATTAAAGAATAATAATAAAATAAAAATAAAAATTCTTGAAAAAGTTATAATATATTTAATATTTTCGATGTTTTTATTTGTAGATTTTTTTATGTAAATGAAAGCTTATAAGAGAATAAAATATTTTCTTATACAAAAGCTTTATATGAGAATAAAATGTGTTTAGATTAAATATAGTTATCAGAGAGGAGATAAGAATTTAAAGAGAAATTACATTTATAGTCAATATTACTGATGTACATATATACTACGCATATCAGGTGAATGCTTCGACTTCGCGATGCGATATTAGAATTAGCGAAACTTGATATAGAGTTTCAAAGAAGTGTTACGTGTCGTTGCACAAACGCATGTGTACTTGTATCAGGCATTATTATACAAACTGCCGAGTAATTCTGTATGAATGAGCGCGTAGATCTTTAATCGTGTGTCAAGAAGGATGCGTCGCGAAAGAGACTGGCAGAGATCAGTGAAAAAAATGACTAAAGTAGTTCTGAATTAACGGGGAAGTCGACGGACGCTGCGATGGCCCTTTCACAGCGTCCCTTTCGATGTGCGGATCTTGTAAAACATGAAATTACATGTTTCCTGTCATCATGTTTGCTTAATATAGGATTATATATTTATATAACTTGACATTAAAGCCATTTATATTCACAATTCACTTTTTTATACATTGTAATAGTTTAATATTTATTTAAGAAAAAAACAAGCTATGTATTGTGTGTGTGTGTGTGTGTTAAAAATAAAATAAATTATATTATTAATAATATAAAAAATCAGATATTGATCAATATTTGTATTTCCGACAAAATGTGATAAATAGGTAAAATAAATAAAATTTCAAATAGTTTAACACATCTTTATAACACTCGCTCTTTTACCATATCAATTTCGTGTATCGAAATGCTTCTTACACGAACAATGGTAATTTTACTTACTGGGAAACTTGCAAAGCAGATCGCAACCCTCGATAGTTTCACGGAGCAATCGTATAATCTGTTCACGGCGAGTTTGGAAGATCATCACTTTGAAGAGTACCACAATGATCCCGGCGAAGATGCATCCATCATCGGTAACAATTGACAGATCGTCGAAACTCAAACAAATGTCAGCCAATAAAGTTATCGTGAAGATCAACATGGTCGTTAGAATAAATTTGTTGTACACAAAATACAAGCATTTCGACAATGCAGAGGAATCCGCGCCGAGAGCCCCTAAGCCAACGTATCTACATAAAATATAAAATATTAAGAAGAGTACAATCAAAAAAGAAAAGGAGATTATTTCGAAATTAGTCAAAGAACGCGTAGACGCAAATTCTAATAACGCGCAGATAATGCATAGACATAAATTTTAAGACGCAATTATAAGACGTTAACGAGACGATGTGATCTATAACAACGCACGTGATATAAACGATCTTTGTCAAATCACACCCACGCGCGATAATATCTGCAGCAGGTTCTCACTTCAAATAAGTAACGTGCAGAGCACTCAACTTCCTGAACCGCTCCAAGTAGCTGCTGGCCGTCTTTTGTGGCATTCCTATGTGGCTCTGCTCCGTGACAACGATGAAGGACCCGCGCGCCAGAGCATAGGAGAGGTCACCTGTGTAGCGTGGGTGTAATTTCTCGTGCGGTGTATATATCAAAGTACTCGTTGTGCCATTATCGAGAGTCGTTTGAGTTCATATTTTCCCTTTATACGGAAGATTGCCCGTAACAAACGGGCTCGATTGTACTGCCGTTTTTTTTCGAATTATAGACTCTCGCTCGTAGTACAGCACACACGTGTGTCTTCTCACCCACGCCAATAATTTACGAAAGTGGCAATAATGGCACTGCAATGCACATTCCATGATTTGTTTCGTTCGGTTGGCAGGTTATTTCACCACGATAAGAGTCCAATATAGAAACAATTTACAAAGTCATAACTGACAAACGTTTAAAATGGCCTATCATTTTCTACTTACAGAAATAACCAATTCGACTGCAAATTTAACAATGCGCGTTTTGTCATAAAATAGTTCCGTCATTACTGCAGCAGTATTGTCGATTGCTTCGTATTTACATAACGATACTGCGATTTAGTGATATCATTGTTGTGAATAGTAAAAAACAATCGTTACTTTTTACGAGTGTATTTTACATTTATTAATTGTAAAATTTTAATTGTGATTTAAAATACTATTAAAGGAAGTAAAATATTAATTAAGATACTTTAATATCTTAAAAAAAAAATAATTTCCGGTACCGGGAATCGAACCCGAGCCTCCTGGGTGAGAGCCAGGTATCCTAGCCACTAGACCATACCGGATCTCGAGAGCTTCTCTTCAACATTGAGAAATGTGTAACTATTGCTATTTTAATTCTATAATATATTGTATATATTTTAAATATTTATACATATTTTATATATATAAATATCATGTATATCATTTACTTACTACAGTAATATTTCGTAACATTTTTGTAAATGTTTGTTGCAAATGCTTAATAATAAATTAACATTTTATCTTATTTATATTTAGGACTAATAATTCTAATAATTGTCATATCATTGTATATAATAACATAAATGTACACAAGAAAACAGTTTCGTAAGTCTAACAAAAAAAAAAAATTGGTTATAGTGCGACTGATGTGCGACAATGTTTAAATAATACGTACCTCATAATAAATTTTATATTTTGTGTTGCATATTTATTGATTACTGATATAAAAATAATAGTTGTAAAGTTTATAATAAAAAGCAAAAAGTTTGTCAGAAGTGGGATTCGAACCCACGCCCTCAGAAGAGGACCAGAAAGCCCGGGGTCTCGGTTTTGAACCGAGAAGGTATGAACCTTGAGTCTGGCGCCTTAGACCGCTCGGCCATCCTGACAACTGACATCGATTCTCTCAATAATGTATATAAAGTGCATACATATTAAATTTAATTAATATATAAGATATGAATACAAAAAAATAAATATATCACAACATTTCCAACAAATGCTACTAATTATTTATCAAAATAAAAATTAAAATATTTGACAAAAACTTTCCGAAAAGTTCTTTTTTTGGCAAAATGCGAAAAAAATTATTGTTTAACATCGTAAAATGTTTTAAATAAATTTAAACGCTATAAACTTTTATATTTGTATGTTTTAATGTAATTATGTGCAAAAAGTATGTCAGAAGTGGGATTCGAACCCACGCCCTCAGAAGAGGACCAGAACGCTCGGAAAACTCGGTCTTGAACCGAGAAGGTGTGAACCTTGAGTCTGGCGCCTTAGACCGCTCGGCCATCCTGACAGTTGAATTCACTTTTCCTAAAATTATTTCATCACGAAGATAATTGTTTGAACATCTATAATATATATATGTATTATATGTCCGTATATTGTTTAATTAATATGTTTCATCTCTTAAATTATAAAATCTAATAATTTTCTATTATAAATATAATTTTAGAAACATTGGCTTGCATTTTATTTTGTATGTAATAGATAATTTCTCAGAAATATATAATTTTTGTTAATATTGTTAATTATACTTACATTTTGTACACAAATTTCTAATTTAAAAATAAATTTAGTTGCATTATAACCATAGAATATAAGTAAAAAATATAATTTTAAATAATGGAATAAAATTTATAACGAAAAAAAAAAAGAATGTTTCCGCCCGGGATCGAACCGGGGGCCTTGTGCGTGTGAAGCACACGTGATAACCACTACACTACGGAAACTTCTTGGAGATGAGTCTCATGAGATGAAACATATAGAATATATAAAAATTTTGATAACAAATGTATTTTGTATACTTATTACATAAAGATAGTTTGCAAATAATTAAATTTTATCACATATTCTGTTATCAGGATTCTTACTTAACACATCTGTTCTGCGAAATGTTTTTCCCGTGCCTGCTATATTTAAGTTAGAAAAAAATTTGTTAATTATATACTTAAAAATCGCAGAAGCAGTGTATAAAGATATTCATAAGTATGCATATAATGCAGACTAAATAAGTGTATCTCTGCAGACTAATAGATTATTAAGATACATCAAGATGTTCATTATACAATATTTGATTATTACTTAAGAAAATCGTGTACAATACATTTGATATATTTAATTAGGAAAAAATTATATTTAATTCTTCGAAAATGTCTTCCGATATTATAGCCTACTTTATAAATATAGTTAATACAAATATACTTAGAGATAAGAGAATTTCTTTCTATCTACTTCTTACAGTAAAGAACATCATTTTTAAATTTTAATAGAAAAAAATTTCACAAAGGTTTGGATTTACTTGTCAACGTTTTTTATTTTATTTTATTTTATTTTACATGGTTCCCATAGTCTTAACAGAAAAAATAAGGACAAGCGCAATAAGGAACACGCTTCGAAACCGCACTTAATTGACACACCAGCCGGTTGCACGATCGTTAAATCACAAATTTATAGGAGGATCAGAAACTTTGCAATCGCAAGAGCCAGTAAAGGGGCAAAAAAGTTATAAGCGCAGTCGGTGGGCGGTTTGGTCTTATCGTAACGTAGGGATTACATAAATGTTTTTTACGGTAAAAATACAGGTTGTTCGCTGCTTCATAAGCTCGGATAAAAATGGAAAAGGGAAGCGGATTGTATTAAGTCATATTTCATCGCGCACAAAACTTTGTTGAAAGCCGCTATTGTCGAACAATCTGCAATCCAACAATGCTGTGTCTTGAATTTTTCCGAAATCTAAATCGTCCTGTTTTCATGCGTACCGAGCATAGTAACGGTGCGCTGTGAAAATTGAGCACTATAACTGGTTTCGAAGCGGTTCGCGATCTCTAATATCAAACGTATCGGGAAATTATGCGCAGTTTCAGAACGCGGCTACCAATTCGTGGGTATCGTACCATGAAAAATATCTTTTGCCACTTAGTGAACAAACTTGGGACGATGGTTCGCAACGAGCTGATAACACCATGTTCGGAAACGTGATCATACGATTTGTTATCCTTAATGAATATTGATGTTGTGGCGGTTCATTTACACTACCTCTCACCTGGCTTTAACTCCGATAACTCCCAGGATAAATGCTGTGTAACATTACTGATAAACATAACGGGTGTCTACAAGTTACCGTATATTCGTAAAATTTTGTGGCAAATCCAATTTTTCTTTAACGGAGGATTGGTGAACAATCAATATTTTTCTCATTTTAAAGTAACGAATCTTTTACTTTAATTTTTCGTATAAAATAATAGATAAGAATTTATCAACAGCATGTACGATTATGCCAACAATAAGACTGCAGGATAGTCTCTATTGCGATTTAGAAAGTTGAAATGTATAAATCTATTTTATCCTTAAGTATATCTAGTTAGATTAATATAGAGTGCACGTAAATTTATGAAAATCGCTTTTAAGATGCTATTAATTATGTTAATATAAAATTATGTTAATATAAAAAAACCATTCTTGGATAACAAAAAAAAAAAAAAACACAAATTCGTAACAAATTATTTTGTAATAAATTATTAATGTATTTGGGGAATAATTAATTGAAAGGATTTATATAATATCAATTTATTTACAAAATTACAATAAATTATGTTGGAAGTGAATCAATACGAATTACCGAATCTTAACCAAATCAAAATTATGGTGACTGGTATCATATTAGGTAATCGAGACTATTCTATGCCTTATGTAATAATTGTAATTCTCGCTCAACAAAAACTGAATCAATGTTTTGCATTCCGTTTTCAACAAAAGAATGGATTTTGCAATATTAAGATGCATTTTAAATATTTATTATATAAATATAAAATTTTTCTCTTTACTTATAGAAACTTTTTATAAGTGAAAGAAAAGACTTTCTTTTTTATAAAAAAATTTTTATAAAAATATTTTTACAAAAAGCGAAGAAAAGTATTTTTTCGCAAAGTCTTTCTTTATTACTTATTATAAAATTATTTATAAAAAATATTTCTTAACAAAAAACTAATAAAAATTTTTGACATAAGATATAAACAAGATATAATAAGTTAGATACATAAAAAAATTGCCATAAATCACAAGTAATGTAATTTTCGGTATATCTTTGACAAATGTTTCAATAGTACGAGAGTTAATAATACAGAGATCAGTGTTCATCGAATGCTCCTTTCAAATACACGAATAATACTAAATAGTCGAGTAAGTAATTGCGGGGTGCAGCGAGATATTATGCGTGTTGCATCAATGTGGACCATGTTCAGAAAATACAATGGTTGAGCAGTTCGTCATTGAAGAAATCTATTCTAGTCTAGAATCAATGCTAATTACTTGCAATTGATATATTCAATAGCCAGATTTTTGATAATTTAATATCAAGTACACAACGGTGAAATTTCTTATTACACTCGTCATAATTTACAAGCTGGTTAGATTGTCTAAAATTAATTCGAGTGCTGAATACTATTTAATGAATATAATTGAGCGTTACTATTTGCACAAGGCTCTGTAAGTCTCTAAAGTTTGTCGCATAGAATCAGAGCGAAGCAATCAATACTGTAGATTATTATTTTGTCAACGCGACACTTACTTGCTAGATCAACGCTGAAATAATAACACGGTATTACGAGCAACATGCAAATACATTTTCGAATGACAGATTCTCGGATATATTTGTATTTAGATATTAAATTACGAACTTAGAACTATGACTATACGCAATGTGTAATAATTACAAAAACATGAATCAGCATGCTGTAAATTCATATTTTTATAGACATGAATTTCAATCTTTTGACGAGTATAGTTATCGTTAAACTTATTTTTCAGATGTCTACGAATACCTAATATAAATTGAGTTTTGTGAAGTACCAATCTATATTCTACAACAAAGTATAAAAAAGGAATAGTACGTGAAATCTTCACGTAGTGAGACAATTATCACATTAAGATCTCTGTAAACTATGAGACTACTATTATTATAATAAGTTAGCTAATTAAGCAAAACTTAATTTTATGCAGTCTGTCATCATTTAATATTGGTTACGAGATACTGTGCAAAAATGTGAGATAAATGTGTACAATGAAAGTATCGAACGAATAGGCTGCAAATATGTGATGAAAACCAATGTAATGTTTCTCAACTCACTTTTTCCTTTTATCGCAGTCAGTCGTCTTTTGAATTATCAATTTATTCCGCTGTCTCGTTACCTTGGTTGTCGACCGAGTATTCGGCGCGATCTGTTTTAATCCTTGTTGTGGAATTCTGCACGGACTAGCTATACGCGGGGGTGTTGTACCCTTGAGAAGAGCTTCGACGTCCGCCAATCGTTTCTTCAACGCTCTGTTCTCTTTTTTGTACTTCACGAGCTCGGAATCTTTGTCCAATCTCTCGTGGCCAGAGCTGCTTGTCTCTTCCGCGAAGTGCCGATATACATGATGCAACTTGTCCTCATATTGCCTCTGCATTATAACCATTCTTCTCTCAGCCTCCATCAATCGCCAATCTTGATTCGCAATGTGAGTCTCTAGCTCTGTTATCTGTACTTCCAGATTCTTCGAGCTTTCTTTCAAGTCGATTACCTTGCGGAAGTATTTCATAAACAACGTTATTATTTCACCGTGAGAGAGTTTCTTCAAGCGTTCCATCAGCATTCGTTCACCCTTCTCACGTTGAGATTGATTCTCATCGAAGTCTTTTCGTCCACAAATCATCTCATTCTTGTGTTCGATCATTGCGTCAATAGCTTCAATGGTTTCGCCACATTCCAGCAATTTACGTTCCTCGACTGTAGTCAAAGTTCTCTCTTTCTGAAATTTCTCGTCCAAATCGCATTTCTCGTCCACCAAACAGTCACGAGTGTGCCTCAAATTTCTAATTTCGTGCCGCAACGCTTCCTTCTCGTCCATGTCCGCGGTTCTTTCCAAATCCATGGATTTCTCTTTTAGAACGTGATCGAGATGGGATATTCTCGCGCTAACTTCCAGTAAGTTCTTCTTCTTATCTGAACAATCAATTTTCGATTTTGCATTATGTCTCTCGTCCTCGCTCTCCGATTGCATTTCCTTCAATTTGGAAGCGGTTACATTATACTTCTCCTCGAGTTCGCGAATTTTCACCTGATCCTTAGCAAGTTCCTCTTCTAGCTGCTTTTTACGCTCCTCTTCTCTTTTTAGCTGCCGCTTTAATTTGTCCATCTGCTTCTTGGATGTGTGTAGCGAGGCTTCCAATTCAAGAACTTTCTTGGCCGAATCACCCGCGATTTGCTTTATCATGTCTATATCCATCAATCGTTTTTCGTAATGTATTGCCATATTTTTCATTAATTCAATTTCTCTCTTGTGTACCGTCTTTTCATCAGGATTGTACATAGAAGCGTTTTCTGCCTGTGCCAATTGTGTCCTTGTGTTATAATATTCCTCTTCCAATTTACTACGTTTACGTTGAAACTTTTGTTTCGCGTTGGTGCGTGTATCAGAATTTTTTATCATATCCGCTATAAAACGTTGTTTAATTTTAATGGTCGTTTGTAGTTCTTCGATACGTTTATGTGCTCCATCCAAATTTGATTGAATTTTCTTTACTTGTGTTTGCTTTGCTTCATTATTTATCGTTAGGGCTTGCAATTCCTTGATAGGTTCAGGTATATCTGCGGTCTTAAGTGCCTCAAGTAACAAATCTGGTGAATTGTCATTTTGTGTCGCAACAAAATTATCGTTAATATTTATTTCCGATTCACGATTATCCAATAAGCATGGATTGGAATATTCCGATATATGATTATCTAAGATTTGATTTTGGCAAGGTTTCAAACTATCATTGAAGGCTAATACTTCATTACACATGTCAGAACCTGGGAGCATTGAGTTTCTCCTGGAATTTGGATTTCTTATTGGTACAGGACGAACGACTGGTACGTAATTATTATTCACAGATCTTGTCATTGGAGATATAATTTCAATATTTGTTTCTCTAAAATTATCCTTTTTCGAATCGACAATTCTATCCGTCTCTATTTTGAATTTGTTCATATACTCATCTAGCTTCTCCAAAAAATCTAGATTTTCTGAGCTTGCATCACTTTGATCTTCCTCATCTTCATCCTCATCCTCATCAACTTCGGATAATTCGCTTTCTGAACTAGAGGTACAATTCGAATTAAGCTTAAGTTTCATTTGATTTGCAGATTCATCCGTCTTTTCATCAGTTTCTGTTACTTCTTCAATACGTTCCAAGGATCTTCTTGTATTCTCCGTGTATCCTTGCAAACTGGTAGTGTCATCACTGGTTATACATTCTTCATATTCTTGTTTCATGCATAACCATTGTTCAATTTGATCCTGATCAGTATGTGGCAAGATATTGCTTGTCATGAGCTTTGTAAACAGACCTTCAGCATTAGAAACCAACTTAGACCATTGAGTTGCTGCAAATTCTAATCTAAATAAGTCTGCACTAGAACTACGTTCTCCAGAAGTAGCAGGTGTCATTGTATCATGCACCTCGTCGCCAGCTTGCTCGTTTTCCTCTTCAGCCAACTGATGATGGTGATCTTGATTACGATGTTGGTAGAATGGCATTACTTCCATATATGGAATATAACATGGATGATTATCCAGCATTGCTTGATGATGAATCCATGGTCCGTAATGCATCATTTCATTCGTCTCATGCATATATATCATCTAGTAAAATGATTATCTGCTCCAAGTTAAAGTTGTACCTACAAAATGTTTAATCTGTTATTTTTTATCTTATTATTATAATTAATTAAAATTGTTGTAATCCATAAAAATAATCATAGTTTAATCTCACCAAATTTTCCTAGTAAAATATTGAATACAAAAACAAGTTTATAACAAAATTTCAACATCTAGATATGCACATACTATTAAATATCTTAAATTAAAAATATTTATATCTCAAGAACCACAGTGATTACTGCTGCACCGAGATGCACGTATAATTACAGTGACTCTTACATGCTAATATTCTCTTTTATGTTTGATAAAAATCATCTAGTCTCTATGCAATTAAAATTCCTAACCTATAACAGAATCTTCTATCCCTTCGAACCATACTCCAAAATGTCTTGTCTCGATGAGAAATCGTGGCACATGCTGTGATTTATATACTTTGCAATTCTAACACAGTTTAACACCCATAAAATTCTTTGATCAAGGACTTTCTTTGGCTGATCTGGTAGAAATCAATGGCTAGTTAATGTCGAGCCATGTCGGACAATGTCGCGCAATACCAAGATTGAATAGTGTCATACGTGTGTATAATATTATATCGTCAAAACGAACTATTTTCAGTTAATAAAAGTTTATTTATGAAATACTGGAAATGTAAATCAGGAAATTAACAATGCATTGTGATTAAACGGCAATGTTTACATCAGACAATACAAATCGATCGGTAAATGCTGTCTAGTTATCCATCGACTCGTAAGATAATTGGTATAATTGTTTACATTATCTTACAAAGATAAAGTACATCTCTTTCTGATCATCTTTTTTCACGCGTGGTTCGCGTTTCTATGTACATCGCGCTCGTTGCTAAGGGAAGCTTGACAGGCATTGACAGGTGTTTGATTGATATCAAACACAACAATTTCAACACTTGTTCTAGTTCGTTTTGAATGCTGTTCTTCATGATAGAATACGGTACTTTTTTCTTTTATTGTGAGCGAAATGGAATTATAGATTATCATAAATTAGATATTTTATTTTTAGACGTCCATGCAGCCAATTCTGTAAAAGAGACTAACCTAAATCAGCAATGTTTATATATTTGAGCAAGAAAATCTCCATTCCAAACAATTTTCGATTGAACTGCATAGCATGGAATCAAAAGAATGGATATATTGCTGTGGGAGGAGAAGATGGCTTGTTAAAGGTGCTAAGAGTAGATTCCAGTGTCAATGGATCAAATAGTGGAGGGAAATCTAGAGGTTTGGCTGCAGCAAGTAATTTAAGCATGAATCAGCCTCTGGAGGGCCATAATGGTCATGTTCAAGTAGTCACATGGAACGAAGAGCATCAAAAATTGACTTCAAGTGATCAGAATGGAGTTATAATAGTCTGGATGTTATACAAAGGATCATGGTACGAAGAAATGATAAACAATCGGAACAAGTCTGTGGTGAGAGGTATGGCGTGGAGTTGCGATGGTCAAAAGATATGCATAGTTTACGAAGATGGAGCTGTGATTGTTGGTTCTGTAGATGGTAACAGGATCTGGGGCAAAGAATTAAAAAATGTATCTCTCTCTGCTGTGCAATGGTCTCCAGATGGAAAGCTGCTTTTATTTGGTTTAAAAAACGGTGAGATTCATCTCTATGATAATCAAGGCGTATTTCTGACAAAATTGAATGTACTCTCGTTGAACACCTCTCAGCTTCAAACCATAGTAGCACTGCAGTGGTACGATGGAAGAAATGGTTATGTCGCCATGGACTGCCCTACTTTAGCTATCTGCTATCGTAATGGTAGAATACAATTAATGCGAGACACCACTGACGACAATCCAGTTATGCTGGAGACTGGTGTAACCACCTCGTGGTGCAATTGGAACAGTTGCGGATCTCTTCTAGCAGTAACAGGTCTCATGCCGATGCTCAGTAATGGAGAGACAAAGGACATGAATGTAATTCAGTTTTACACGCCTTTCGGTGAGCACGTGAGGACCTTGAAGATACCAGGCAGAGAAGTAACATGTTGCACCTGGGAGAAGGGTTCTCTAAGAGTTGCTTTATCCGTTGACTCACATATATACTTTGCGAATATTCGTCTAGATTACAAATGGACGTACTTCAGTAACACGGTCGTCTTCACAAACGAGAAGATCAGCAAGGACGGCACCTGCGTGACTTTCTGGAACACAAGCAGCAATACGTGTTGCACCAAGTATGTAAGGTCTTTAATATCAATAGCTTCTTACGGAGAACACTGTGTCTTGTCTGTGAGAAACGATCCTGCTCAAGCCAGCGAGCAATTCGCTCTCCTCGTTTGCAACACCATCGCCACGCCGATAGATTCTAAATTCCTGGATCTGGAACCGTTGCATCTTACCATGACCAGCAATATGGTCATGGCTGCGTCCAAGAACAACTTCCTCGTGTGGAACTTCCGCACACCCCGCAACGCGACGTTGCATCCTAGTAGAATGCGTAAATACAGGATCTACCACGTTGACGAAACGCCCACCGGCGTGACAGAAGTTATTCAGGATCTGGACAAGGATGGCTCGTTTGAGGCACCGATCAGTACAAAAGCCACTATGGATCCTATCTGCTGCATCTACGCCACGGAAAAGATTCTTCTGGTCGGCCGAGAATCAGGGATGATTCAACGATACTCTCTGCCGCAAATAACGCTCATGAACAGATATAACACCGCGTGTAAATTGAACAGAATCGCCATTAATTGCGACTCTACGCGTGTGTCTATTATGGATGCCAACGGTATTCTGACGATGTTAGATCTGGATCCGCAGAAGATGCCCGACTCGCGAGACGGAGATACGGGCGAGGATATATCTAAGTTCGAAAGGAAAGATGTATGGGCCATGTGCTGGGCGCAGGACAATCCTGCGCTCTTAGCGATTATGGAGAAGACTAGGATGTACGTTCTGAGAGGGGTGGATCCTGAGGAACCTATAGCCTGTTCCGGATACATCTGTTCATTTCAAGATTTGGAAATACGTTGCGTTCTTCTAGACGATCTTATGCTGAAACCAGACGACACGCGAAAAGATTTGATCGTCGACTTGGAAGTGAAATCCTTGAGAGATACGAGAGAGTTGTTGGCCAAGGTAGGTCTGAAGGAGGCCAACAATTTCATCCAGGATAATCCGCACCCGCGTCTCTGGCGTTTGCTGGCTGAATCGGCGTTGACGAAGCTGGATCTTGAAACAGCGGAAAATGCTATGGTGCGATGCACGGATTATCTGGGTATACAGTTCATCAAACGTCTGCATAACGTGCACAACGACCAGCTGAAGAAGGCCGAGGTGGCGGCGTTTCTCGGCAACTACGACGAGGCCGAGAAACTATACTTGGATATGGATAGAAGAGACTTGGCGGTCGCGCTGCGCCAGAAGCTGGGCGACTACTTCAGGGTCGTGCAGTTGATGAAGATGGGCATTGGCGGTTCCGACAAGCAGATGGAGCATGCGTACAACAAGATCGGCGATCACTTTGCCGAGAGGCAAAATTGGGAAAGCGCGAAGGAGTATTATGAAAAAGGTAGAAACCTTGAAAAACTCATTCAATGCTACTACAAGCTGGAAGATTTTCCCCAGTTAGCGGCGACTGTCGATCAGCTGCCGGACAAAAGTCCCATCTTGAAGACTGTGGCGAGAATGCTCGCTTCAGTGGGAATGTGCTCGCAAGCGGTGGCGGCTTACATCAAGTACGGCGACGTAAAACTTGCCGTGGATACATGCGTGCGTCTTAATCATTGGGACCAAGCTGTTGACCTGGCGAAGACCTACAAGATGGCACAGATTGGCGAGCTGCTGAATAAATATGCCAACCACCTGTTGTCGAACGGTAAGCGTCTGCAGGCGATCGAGTTGTACAAGAAAGCCAATTACAATCTGGAGGCGGCGAAGTTATTGCTGCGTCTCGCCGAGGAACAAGCCAGATCCAAGTCGCATCCTCTGCGCGTGAAGAAGATATACGTTCTCGCGGCGTTGTTGATCGAGGATCACATCAACAGCGTTCCGGCGATAAAGGGCGGTCGCAGCAATATTGTTATGGGTCTCTCCGAAAGTAACGAGGACACCAAAATTATCGAAAACGCCTGGCGAGGTGCCGAGGCGTATCACTTCCTTTTACTTGCACACAGGCAATTGTACGACGGCGGCTTCGACGCCGCGATGAAGACGGCCTTGCGATTGAGAGACTATGAGGATATTTTGGAAGTAGAAGATATCTACTGTCTACTGGCGCTGTCCAGCGCGGTTAATCACGCATTTGCCACCTGCTCGAAGGCGTTCATAAAACTAGAAGGGCTGGAAAAAATTTCAGAGGCGAAGAAAGAAGAGTACGAGGAATTGGCGGTGGATATTTTTACAAAATATACCCCGAAGGATTCCCGCAACAACAAAGCAGAATGCGTCAACTGCGAAACTCTAGTGCCTGACTGGTGCGTAGCGTGTCCGAATTGCTCGACCAGATTCCCAGCTTGCATTGTCTCAGGGAAACCGCTGATGGATCTCAGCGTCGCGTGGATCTGCACCGTCTGCAGACATCACGTTGCAACGGAACGCGACGTTGTTAACATAAATGCTTGCCCGTTGTGTCACAGCACCATCACGTATATGTAAGTGAGCATGTAAGTAGTTTATCGAGTCATTGAATTTTTATTCAAACATTTGCTAACATTTTGTGAAAATAGATTGCAATTTTTTGTATCTTAATGATTGTGCAATAAGAAAATAGAAAATTTTATTTTATTTTATGATTGTGAAAGATATAAGGTCAATATCGAAGCAGTTTTTATAATCAATGAGTTAACTATAACTTGATTTTGAAAGCAAACAGTTTAAAACGATTCAGAAATGAGACAAAGTGCCGTTGTTTCGTGCCTTAATAGAGTAATTAACTCTGGAAAATTACTAACGAGGATTATCAAATCCAGTAGACTTTTAAAAGCGTGCCAATTTTTCCTTTTTGTGCACTGACACATTTTTACAGCCATTACAAATAGGATTTATACCAGGCTTTTAACGATGAATATTTATACGTTTTATTTGTTTTTCATGATGACGATGCCATTCTTTGGTATTATGTGCAAAACTATATTAATATTAATCCGTAGGCTAATGTCATCAACATTGAAATAGAATAATATACAGTGAACGTTCGATACTTGCTATTTCACGTTAAAGTGAATATCTTTTAACGAAGCGACAAAATGTAATCTAATGAGAATGCAATTTCAACAGCTTGCCATTACATATGCATTACCGACGTTGCGGCTATGCGCACCTGCTGTTACATTTAGAACGTAATGAGCGTTTAATGAGTAGATCTTGTTAGTTTTGCCGCGTTTGTGAAGTTTATGCAAGTGCGAGTACTATTACCAGTTGGTTTTGATATAGCCATGCAGATAGTTGCTTTTAATTTCAGCCTGACATTTGTAATCGAATAATTGATCTCTCGTTAATTGAAATATTATTATTTCTATAATATTATTCTTTTAGAGTATGGTAGTATCATTACTGATATTATAATCATATTATCATTACATATTATACGTTTGTAATCCATAATTTACAATTCCGAGCCATTATTGTTACAAAATAATTATTATGTAAGAATAGTTATCTCCACTTGATTATATTTTTTTCATTTTTAACAATAAATCATAAATTATCTTCTATTGAAAATTACGATAGAAAATTACGATAGAAAATTACAAAAGATAATTATTTAATGCAAACATTTTGTATTGAAGCATAAACTTTCATTGATCTCTGATTTTTTTGCAAGATGTGTCATATTAATAGTGATTGCATGATTTCTTGATTATGTAATTCAGCACATAACAATTTGCAACAAAGTGGAAAATTTCTCTTTGTTATTTGATATGCTATAATAGAATATTTATTTAAGTTATGCTTACGTTTAGATTGAACCTATGTTAAATTATAATTTGTATTTATACTTTATTTTGAGATAGATCATAGTTTTAAGATATAATGTGAGCCTCCCTAATATCGAAAGAGGCAGGATGAACAAAAGAATAAGTTGTAAAGAGTTTTGATATTACTGCAAAATTGACAAAACATCACATATTGCGCTGTGCGTATCAACGAATTCCGTCCAATTTTTGTTACTGATAAATGATACTCAAAATGTTATTGTTATTTATAATATAAATATAGTGTGAAATTATATACAAAATATATACAAGATTATACACATTATTTTATTTATTTAATATTAGCATTTTTAGCATTAGTAAACCTTTATATCAATAATCAATTTAATTTATACTAAAACATGTGCGCGTTATTTGTTCCTGGTTTACAATTTGTGATAGATTTACCGATATGAATAAAGATATACATAACTGCGCGAATTAATGCCGAATTGTAATTGATTGTTCTATCAGAAGTATGCAATATATTTTTATCGATAATATAAACTCTTTTGAAACATTGTCATTAAAACGCGTTCTATTCATGAAACAAGATTAAGAAAAATATAATATAAATCTATCTAAACAATTGCGTATATTTAAAGCTGCGCACTTATTTTTTTTTTGGAAATCAGCAAAAAAAAATTCGCGCGTTTCGTTCGATTTTACCAACAGCCGAAGATTTTGTAAAATTGCCGGCAGACCGGTGCGTGCGTGCGCGCTACCACCTAACGTACATCGTGTCGCGCGCAGGCGCGTACTTCTCAGCGCACATTTCACTCCATGCTCCGATCAGTGTGTCTTGCGCGCTCGGAGAAGGTGGTTCGGATTAGTAGAACGTTCGTGGTCGTTTTCATTCTTCAATTCGGTACTTTGTGAAACGCCGGCTCATTAAACCGTCAAATAAGCAATACGAAACGCGTGCGAATGCGAATGCGAATGTACGAACGTGAGTGTCCGTCCCGCCACCGGCAACGAAAGTACATCGTGAATAGTGTCGGGAATCGTCGCATGTGGTTTTCTCACCGCGGTCTTTCGTTTCTTTTCGCTCGTTCCGCACGAGAAAGACCTCCGAAAATGACGAGTGCCATGATACTGTGGATTGTTACCGTGACGCTTGCCGTCGCGACGATGACAAACGCCGCCGGCCTGAAGTGCGACAGTGTTCAAGGGTACTTCGAGGCACAGGGGTTTCCGCTCAGCGACATCCCGAAGGAGGCGATTCCATGTAAGTAGAGACAGATTCATGTATCATGTATTGCGTAAAACAACGGATGGCATTCATATCCTGCGCCTTGTATGAAATGTGATATTTGAATTTTGTTTGCGACTGCACTTGAATTTTGTTTACGACTGCTATCTTTCACGTTTGGACATACGTGTTCGCGAGAAAAGAAGAATATAAAATAGATAGTATAAGTAATAAAAGCAAAACTTTTGTTCAATCCTTTTAACTCTAATTATGGCGTACGAGTTATCGGCCATATTTAGTGCTAAATGTGCATGATATGAATTAGAGATAAATGTATTTGAAGAATCAATCAATTTAGCAATTTTTATTAAATATATTTCAACGCGCGATAAAATGATGAATAGAAGAATCAATTTATTTATATTATCAATTCTCGTTTATATTATTAATTCTCGTTATTAAGTATATTTCAATGCGTAAAATAATAATTCTTGAAAATATTAAGAGAATATATATAAGTGATAATTTTATATCCTTTTAATTCTATATCTTTTAATTCACTGGAGCAAGATTGTATCTTTTGTGTAGATATAGCCTATATTTATTTGTTATATATAGATATTTCAATTTTGGTTGATATAAAACTGATTTAAAGTTAATACAGATCTTATCATTAATGGATGATATTATCTTATTATTAGTAGCCGTCTTATATCTTATCTTATTTACGCGATTAACAAAAGATATTAAATAGTACCAAACTGATGAATGTAAGTCGTAAATATTTCAAGTGTTTGAAAATCGAATTAATATAAAATCAAATTAAAGCAGATATTTTTACGATAAAAAAATTTCCAAAAATATTTTTAAGTTAAGCTCTATTCAAGATGGAAATTTATATCCGCTATTAATTATGCAAACTTTGACAAATTTTTTTGTCACACATTATATATTTTACTGTACAATATATGTATGTACATAATGCTTATCGAGAATATGTCAACTATTGAAATCCAGAACTATTCATAACATAATATATGATGTGCCTCTGCCATTTATCATCGTTTGTTACAAAAATAATTATTGTGGTACACGCGAGCAACCATGCATCGCGAAAAAAATGTGAGCGACTACTTTTAAACTTCCCAGAGAATCCAGTTCGTACCACATATAACTAATTTAGATTTCCAGTAGAATTCTCGTTGACGGGTGAGATCGATCGATCCTCCTTAATTTGTTCCGAAAATTCGATTTTAATTACGAAGCCGGCGCGCACTGATTGGGACATCAAAGTTGAATTTATTCATTGGAGCACGCGAGCCTTTTTCGAACAGCCGGTTCTATCAAGCGGGTTTAGCGTTTCAGCTGCTGTGAAATTCCCGCGAATGATTGGCTGATCACAAGACAAATGTCAAATCGCTTTAACTTTTGCTTCGTCCGCCATATTTGTTGCTCGCTTTTTTTGCAAGAATCCACGTCAATATCTGAATCTATGCTTTTTTTTTATTACAATAAATGCAGAAAAATTATAGTATATAATTAAGTGGCCAAGTAAAATCTGCACAATTATAATTACTTTTTGCTAAAATATTTCAAGATTGTTTAGATCATATTTAATAGAGATTTTATTATAAATTAAATCTTTCGATATGTAACAAAAGCAATAAAAAAACAATTATCGGTATTTGATATACATCGACATGCATAGGCGTATAATTATAAGCGTTAATTAGACTGGAATAGTAAGTGTTGAGAAAGCTTTGACATTTGAGGATTTTGAAAAACATTTTAATCTTATCGATTGTACGTCAAGTCAGGCGATCAAATACATCTTACAAGTGCGGTTTAACCGAAAGAAATTTACGAGCGACTATGTATCGTGCGTTATCGAATAGGACAGACGCCAGATAGATAATGACAGGCTAATATTGGCTGGATAGCAATTATGGTACACATAGCTATTGAACGTTACTATTGACGTTGCATTCTTTGTTTTTTCTTGGGATCGGCAATTATCGAGTACCAGCTGTTGAGCCAATGGGAAATGTTTTCAATGGAGAACTTTAAATGCAGTTTATAAAACGACGATTAATGTTAAATGGGTTATAAAGCAGTAATGGAGCGAGGAAAAGCTACAAAATTATACTCGTGTTTGTCTTATTGCGACGGAGAGAAAAGTTCGTTTTATTTAAGCTTCTAAAGTGTAAATTTCTGAAAAAATTATCACATATATTAATGTACAGTGTTGTCAATGCTTTCGTTAACAAAGTAAATTCATAATGCAAAGTAAATTAGAAATTAAAGAATGAATTAAGAATTAATTAAGAATTACACTTATACATATATTATAAAATTCTATCAGGAAGTGATTTAAAAATAAAATAATAATTTTAGAACAATGTTCGATTAGGCTTCACCATTTTTCTAACTTTTTTTCTTCTTTTATTGATGATTCCTCATGATTTCTTTTAATACGGTTTAAAGCTCAAGGTTTCTTTTAGAAAAGAGATGAGCAAATTACTTTAAAGAGAAGAAAATGTATTATAGAGGACGACGTCGTGTTGGACACAAAAGCCGCTGGAAAATCAAGTAGGATTCCAGTAAAAGACGGGTGAGATTCTCGGGGCGCACCATTAGTGACTTTCTTCTTCTACCAACTTTGTTTTTCATTCTCGCTCACATTTTCGAGGTCACCTCAAAAATTACACTTTCGGTTCATTTACATCTTACTGTGTAATAATAGTGAAACTTTTCGGAATGACTTACAATTTTTATGGTTACAAATTATACAAATTGTTTCTTTTTTCGAGCTACATAAGATGAATCTTTTAAGCTATTTTGGGCATTTATTAGTAAAAATTATAATTTACAAATATTTTTTTAACGCTGCTTAATTGGGATTATTCTATTTATAAAATATTGTTTTTTTAATTATTTATTGTATTGTATTTTAGTATATTTTACATTACATTTTACGAAACCTTTTAATAAATTAGAAAATTGTTTCTTATAAGAATTTTTTATCTTTTTCTTTATAACGTTTATTGTTAAAAATTGTTAAAAATTAAAACAAAATTACTTCTGTTTATTTCGTATTACGCAAAATAGCCGTTGAAACAAGAATAAATTGAAAGGTGAAAGATGCATTGCCATGTATAAGCCATCATAATCATAAATTCCAACAATCCGCGTGGAATCACAATTTATTTCGCGAACTTCGGCGAGCTGATTTGCGAGGACCGCGACGTGACCGCCGGTGGATTTATGGCCGATGAATTATGCGTTTTGTTCGTTTAGAGGTGGAGAACTCCTCCACCTCTAAATGGAGTCGGAGCAGCGAAGAGAAATGAATGAAATTCCGGGAGACATCCTTGTACTAAAAATCGACGATGCTGCGGTCGTGATTGCGTTTCCTTGTACTTGTTGATGTATGGTGTCCTCTTAATTCCAGGATCTCTCAGAATAATAGGACATAAT